TGGTTTTCAAGTTCCATTCACTGTAAAGAAAACTGCACATGATCAAATTAAGACAAAGATATGACAAACAGAATGGTGGAGTAATTTTGCTGAAAACATTTTCTGCAGCAAAGAAGCCACATGGGAAACCTGGTGAGGTGATCCAATATGAAGCAGACACTCCAGCTGCTTTTTAATGTTGTCTGCTGGCTCAGTGTCTGAGAAGGAAATGTGTCAGAAGGATCTTTCATATTATGTGCTGCTGCAATAGCAGGTCCATGCATACATAAACATCTATCAATTTATCTAGCTACACACACCTATCTAGACTCCACTCCATTTCATTCAGTCAGAAAGCTAACCCTCTGTCCAATTACAGAAAGCTAGACTAGTGTTTCTAAACCTTTTTTTTATAAAGGACCCATCTTCCTCCCAAAAAAATGATAAGTACCTCCAGTACCTACAGTTTTCAGACACACAACATTTTTTTTTTAACCATTGCAACACATTTGTTTAAACAACTTAATTGCAGCCGGGCGGGCAATGAATATTTGGGTATAAAAAGTACAAAAATACTAAAGCGCTGTAAAACTCAAAACAAAAATTCAGTTTTCTCCAAATTTCAGTTGTGTTGACGTACCCCCTCCCCAGGCTTCTCTCAAGTACCCCTAAGGGTACTCGTACCACTGGTTGAGAAATACTGAGCTAGATAATTGCTTGGCTGATTGTCTGCATGTCATAGATAAAACAAAAACATATAGGAAGATAGTTTCTAACGCATGGATGATTTTTTGTGTGTGTATGAAGTTTTGTGGAAGTCATGTTCCACTCCATCCTGCTGGAAGCTATTAAAAAGATATGGGGGGGGGGGGGGGGGGGGGGGCAGCACACCAGCCTCCTGCCCAGTGCTTTTCAGGAGACTGTTGAGTTTGTGTATGTTTCACTGCTGACAATTTATTAAATGCATAATTCCTTGTGAAATGTACCAGGAAATATACAAAATGCACGATCCCTGCCCCACATTGCCCCAGCGAACACTGTCAAAGAGCATTTCAAAGGTGCAATTGCCCATATATCCACATTTTCTTTAAATTCTCCAGCTTAAAAAACACATATTCCAATATGTCAATCTTCTCTTCCATACCCATGTATCCAGCACTTTGTAATGTGAAGTTAAAATTCACACCTCACAAAGCTGAAGATCCTGTGTTTCTGTGTGTTAAATCTGTGGCAATTTGGGGAGTAGGAGGTCTATATTCTCACACATCCAGTCAGAAGTTGTATATCCCAGCCAGGGCCTCCAAAGGCAACCACCACCTGGCCTTATATTGGACTCAGTCATTGTACAAGAAGAAGGTGACAGTGATAATGTGTTAATGGATAGAACATCTTGGCCCATAGTCTATCAATAAGTCTTCTACTGAAATGTTAATTGCCAGTCTCTCTGGGGTTGACCATATTGATTGAAAGCAAAAATCAAACAGGAGGAAAAAAAGCACTCATGGAATTTATTCTCCATGAATTAGCAGCACAGACTGCCTGGAATATGAAAAAAAATGGTGTGATAGACTGACATAATTATATCAGTAATTCATATTGAAGAGTAAAATAAAGTTAAGAGGAAATTATAAGCAAATATGAGCTCTCCAACTTAGGATAATTAACATGCAAAAGCATGGTCATAGGCTAGAACATATGGCCCATGTTGTTAGGGCTGCTTATTTAAAAATAAAGTGTGAAGGTGAGGTTGAGGGACAACTGTTGTGTGCATATGCTTTCTAAAGAGCATTATAAGCTGCAAAATGACTAAAGGAACAAAAGAATATCATTCCAGTAAATGTATGCTGAAGCAAATAGTGTGGGATGAGGGAGCGCGCAATAGTCTAGCACTCAGGAAACCTGGCTTCTATTCTTGGCTCTTCCATTAGCCTGCTTCGACAAGTCATTTCTTCTCTATGTACCCAGTCTTCTCATCTGTAAAATGGGTCTAAAATATTGACTCTTCTCTCCCTTTGTAAAGTGCTTTGAGATCTACTGATGAAAAGTGCTACATAAGAGCTAGGTTTCATTATTTCACACAAGATGGTTACATCCTTCCTGAAAGGTCCATGTATGTTAATATCTTTGTGTGGAAGATGCCATAGGAAAGCAATTTAAAGTAAATGGAGAGGTTGAGATGGCAAAAGATTATATGATGCCAGAGCCTTAATCTAAGAAATGCTACACTGCCAAATGGTCTGGGACAAATGGGCAAGCTGATAAAAGTAGGCAATATTTCTTCCAAGTTTAATGACATAGCTTGGATCTAGCTAGATGCATTTTGCAGTTTAAGGCTAGATACATTTTGCAGATTATTTCTTTATTTTGCTCCAATTCTCTTTCAATTCTTAATAAATCTTGTTTTGGAACAAACCAAGGGGTTTTAATTTTGGGGGGGGGATTTGACACAGATGATCTAAAGAGATTCAACAGCTTTGAACCCCGAGGAAGAGGTGTGAGGCAAAGCTTTCTGGTGCCTCTCCTGATCAGTATTCTCAGTCCAAATGGTAGGAAGTAATGAGTTCTCTACCATAATGTTTTGATCCTCCAAATACAGAAAAATGCCTAATTAAACACAGATGAACAGTGAATTTAAGGAACAGACAATGACAATGTACAAGGAGCAAGTCTGCTGGTAAGAAAATAATAGTACAACTCTGGCAAACTGGGTTTAATATAGAGAATGCTGGTGTTTTAAATGGGGAGCAATTTCATTTTCTGGACAATCCAGACATCCACTTAGCTAAAATCTTTTCTCTGTAGTTCACTCTTCAGACCTAAACATATTTGCCTTGCCTCTAAAAGTTTAAACCATAAACAGTGGGTCCTAGAGATTCCCCAGGAATGCTAGGGAAGCAGGAAGTGAATTGGAAGGAGGCCAGAAGAACCAACAGAAACAGAGTATGGCTTTTTTGAATTGGAAGCAGTGGCCCTTCCTGTTTCTGCTGTATGCCCAGAGGAGAGCCTGTAAGGAGCCAAGGAGAATCCAGTGATATTCATGTCTAGGGAAGAAATATGTTTTGAACTTTAGTGGTGAGAGTAGAACAGGGAATGTTTAGTCAGATGTGATCAGGCTATTTCTTTATTTTGGGGTTTCTTGGACTTCTCTGTGTTTAACACCTGAAAGTAGTCACATTGTAACTCTCCAAGCTGAATCCCAAAGAAGCAATTCTCAGTGGTTTTAATTATTTTTCCTCAGTTGCTTTGTAACATCTAGCAACCAAGTAATGTTTCAACAAGTGCGCCTAAAGGTATGTCTAGACTGCGGTTCTATTTTGGGATACCGGAAGTATCCTGAAATAGCAACACCACATCTTTAAACGCTCCTCCTAGTTCCTGAAATAGAGGGCACGCTATTCTGGTGTCCCTGTAACCCTCATTCCACAAGGGTTAAAGGATTTGTCGGAATAGTGCCTTATTTTGAAATTTGGCACGGTCTACACCGCCAAATTTTAAAATAAGCTCCTTCGACCTAGACTTGGAATAAGCTATGCGATTTCCATTGCCAAATTGCATAGCTTATTCCGACAGAAGGTTGCTGTCTAGATCCACCCTAAGTCTGCACAGCCAAACTACTAAGATAAACTGACATTCCATTTTCAGCTGATCTCACCAGCTGGATTCCAAGCTCCCTCCAGAGGGAGGAACAAAGGTGTCCCACAGCAAGGAATTCCCATGTGCTCCTTCCTGAGTCCTCACAGGAGTTTTTGCATTTGTGTCGTGGCAGAGATACCAAACCAAGGCTGTGGAGTCTGTGACCTTGGGGAGCTTTAACACAATCCTTTAGTGGCAATGTATTCTAAAGTCTCTTGCAGGCCCCCACCATCTGCACTCAAAGTGCCATAGTAGTGAACAGCATAAACAGCTGGGAAAGATTTTGAAAACCAATCAACACTGACCTAATTTTGTAGCCCCTGAAATCAATCGCTGTGTCTACACTGGCATGAATTTCCGGAAATGCTTAAAACGGAATACATTGGCAGGCTGCTTTTCCGGAAAAGCCCTTTTTCCGGAAAAGCGTCTGTGGCCAATGTAGACACGCTTTTCCGGAAAAGAGCCCTGATCGCCATTTTCGCGATCGGGGCTTTTTTCCGGAAAAGACTACTGGGCTGTCTACACTGGCCCTTTTCCGGAACAGTGTTCCGGAATAAGAACTTATGCCCGAGCGGGAGCAGAATAGTTTTTCCAGAATAGCAGCTGATTTTGTACAGTAGAGCATCGTTGCTTTTCCGGAAATTCAAGAGCCTGTGTAGACAGCTCACAGCTTATTCCGGAAAAGTGGCTGATTTTCTGGAATAAGTGGCCCAGTGTAGACACAGCCAATGTGTTTTTTTCTACTGATGTCAATGTGAATTTTCTATTGATTTAGAGTTGGACCAGGACTCTATGAAAATGTAACCCACAATGTATTCATCTGATATTGTGTAATAATAAATTTTGAGGAGAAAGAATTAACTGCAAAATACAGCATGCATTCTTATTCACACTTCAAAAACTCTATTGTATTACACAACAGCAGATATTTTCCTTTTTATTACTGGCTCATGCCAGAAAGCATTCAGAGGAGAACAGTCGAGAGGGAAGATGTCATTTTGTTCAAATTAACATGTACCCTAAGCTAGTTTTTAAGCCTTCCTTCAAAGTCTACTGTTCTTCTGACAAGAAAATAACACTGTTTGCGCTATTTCATAGATGCTTTGATTCCAAGGCCACAAAAGACCCATTTAGATCATCCAGTTTGATCTCCTTCAGGCCATAGAACATTCCTAAAATAACTTCTGTTTCAACTAAAGCAGATCTGTTGGAAAAAAAGCATCCAGTCTTGATTTAAAAATTTATAGTAATGGAAAATCCACAACAGCCCTTGTTCCTGATTAGTTACCCTCACTTCTAAAAATGTACGCCTTATTTCCAGTTTGAACACCACTTCAACCCACTTCAGCACAATGCAACATTAAATAAAGGTAAAGCACTGTACTCACTTCTTCCTGTTCCAAAAGTCCGGTCAACAGAGAGTGTTGGGAATGGCACAGGCCGGAGAGTGAACTGTGGATGTGGGTATCCACATGTTGGAGATGGCAGAATTCCTGGGTACTGGGCACTTTCTAGTGTTGGCACTGGGATGGCACTGACAACAGCTGAAAAGAGAGAGAAATAGAGAGAGAGACAGAGAGGGAATTAAAGATGTCTTCACACTCTATTTGTGGAAGGAAAAAATTAACAAATGGATCAAGTAGCAAACCACAAATGGACATTTTCCAAAGCTGGATGTCCAGCCTGCATTCACAAATTTTGTATTTGTACAGCTCCTAGCACAGTGGAGTTCTGGTGTATGACTAGGGTTCCTAGATGTTACAGTAATATAAATAATACATACAATACCTAAATACATGACATCTGTATCCAGAAATAGGCATGTTTAATGTGACTGGGATCTTTTCACACATAAAACAACACTTCTATGTTTGAAAATATCTAGACACATACATGTTTATTCCAAGGATACAGATTAGGCAGCCAAGTCTGGACTTTTTTGTCCTGTTAAGTGACAAATATTTGAAAGGAATATTGATTAATTGAGACATTAAGCGCCAGGATATGATCTTAGGCCATGTCTACACTATGTGGAAGATCAATGCTGCCACAGTCAATCTAGCAGGTCTAGTGAAGCTTCGTTAATTCACACTCAGAGGTGCTACTATTGGTGCCAGTAGTCCTGCTCCCTCATGAGGGAGCATTTGGTCCCATTAACCTCTCACTGTGTGGGTGGCTCAAAAACACGATTTAAGATACATCAGCTCCAGCTATGTAACTAATGTAGCTGGAGCAACATATCTTAAATCGACTCTCCTCTTTAGTTTAGACCTGGCCTTAGAGACTCTACTAAAGTTATTCCTGATTTATACCAGTTAAAATGAAATTGGCCCTACTTCCTCACTCAGTATGCCCATTTAACACTAATAGCTCTAATGGGAATTACAACTAACAAAAAGAGGAAAGAAGGAACAATGAGTTATGCACAAATTAATCATCTGAACTTTTAAAGGCTTTGCCACATCACATAATCCTTTTTGGCTTGGAAACAGAGTGATTTCTAGTATGTTCTAGTTTGGAACAATCCAGGAATAAACAACCAATAATCAAAATAATGGGCACTCAAACATTGAATAGGAATTTAGTACTTGGCCATAGATTATTAGTTTTGTCTTATATAGCACTTCTCACAGGTGAATTGAAAACAATGTACAAATGTTAAAGTAGACATTATTATTAATTCTAACCCTTATTATACATTCATTACACAAAGCTGTAATGTGGGCAATTTGCCCAAGGTCACACAAGTAATTTGTTGTGCCAAACTTATTACATATTTAAGAACTAAACTATACATCCTCTGCCAGGCATTTCTTGTGCTTAGAGAGGAAAATGGGAAGTGTAGCACCTCGCAAAACTTTTATTAAGAAATGATAATTTTCCTATTTTGAACTTGGGGGTGCTATTTTGAACTTTCCTTAGCACAGAATTCTTACTTTTCCAAGATTTAATTTTATCTGTGGAAATCATTGTATTCACCTTTTTGTAAGGTTAAATAATAGTCTTCCTGCTTATAACATTATTAATGGATTTCAAAAACAATCATTCTGTACTGAGTCATTATAAACCCAGCACATTTATTGAAGTCCATCCATTCATTCTTCTCCAAAGCACAGGTAATAAGAATTAAAAAATCATAGTATTCAGTGTAATATTAAATTTATGTAGAGAAGCTTAGGGAAAAGATAGCTTCAAGCATTTTCAATAAATCTCTGCAATATGACAAAATATGACAAAAATCTGTTCTGACTTAGCCTGCCAACAATTGAATTTGTATTTGACACTGATGCTTTCTGAGTTTGAAAGCAGAAATTTTCTCACCAAATTGTGGAGTTCCCTGAGCACTGCCCTTCTACATCTACAAGTTTCACTACATCCTATAAAAATATTATATAAGTATGGCACATTGTGTTGCCAAACACAACATCAACATGATCATTTCCATCCCCAAAATAGGGTTATGATTTTCCACAAGTGGGGGAATATACTATAATCTCTGAAAGAACCCCTCCCCCCAGCCCAAGTTGATTCGTTCTATAAGCATATTTAATCCTCATACAGATGTAAGAATTATAAAAAAATGAACAGTCTGGAATTCTGTAGGTAAATCACAACAACATAATACTCGAGTCTCTGATCTAAGTAGACAATTTTTTCTGCTTTCTTTTTTTAAAAATGATCTTATATAACAATACACATCTTTAGCAAGTTATTTGCTGTCTCAGCACCTACCTTATTAAATAATTTTGACTACTTGTATCAGAAAATGCAAAAAACATGCTCTGTGAATGCTGAGAATGAGCAGAGTCATTTCACCAATAGATAACTATGAATTCAACTGTCCTGTTTTCCAAGATTTTACTTAATAACTTATAATTTGGATATAACAAATTGTCACACAACCTCCTTCACAAACACAGATTTTGTTTTAAAACCCAGATCTTCCATTTTAATGCTAGAGAAGATGGAAAGTGCTTAGGATTCTATATCAGCAGCTACATTTCAGCCTCTTTTCTGATTTTCAGGTCAGCTCTTGGCTCTTTGACCTGTGCATTTGAGATCAATTGTGTTGGTGAGGTATTGAAAACAAAGCAATGCTCTAAATTGTTTATCAATTTGGTGCTTGCACAGGTCTAATTTCTGTTATCAAGGAGATCTAACCAGAGTTTCACTGACACTATGACTTCAGCATCATTGGATGCTGCCAACACCGTATGAAACTCCCTTCAATTGCTTTGTTAAGTATTGTGACTTTCTATGAAGGGATTTAGAGACTTAAGAAAATAATCATGGCAACATTTCAAAAACAATAATGGCCTCAAACAGCTTCACTTGTAGCATCATGAACACCATCAATATTTTGCCCTTTCACTTCCATATAGTTTCATTCAATAGCTCATTTGATCCTGAAGAATGCAATTAACCTGATTTTTTGTGTGTTTTACGATGAGCATAAATTGCTTTCCATTTTGCCACTTAACACTGCCAATGTGTTTCTTTTGCTTCAGAATAATTACCTGTTTTCATTTCTTCAGTCCAGTCTATGGCTTATTTCCTATCATAATCACTGTTAAGCATATTGAGTCTGATATGAAAAAGTTCCACAAAAACATGCCACTTATACTTTATGGGAAAAGAAACAGATTCTTTACAGGTTTTTTACGACCCATTCCAAAAAGTGTATATATTAGACCTAAATATGAGATTGATTTTCCCCCCATGTTTCTCTGTCTCAGACATATACTAGTAGGAATAGAATATACATAGAAAAGAGAACCTTCACCTTCTAAAAATATTTACAATTTGATCTTAAAACTCAACAGCATGCTTATTTATATACACTGACCTACAATAAAGTGGACTGATTATACTTATGCTGGTATTGTTCCACAGCAATTACAATACGTTTGATTCTGATCTTGTCTACAACATTTCTACATCTGTGAAACTTCACAGTCTTTACTGATCGGTCTCTTGTACCTGGTTAAATCAGGAATTATGTTACTGTAGCCAGTGCAGTTACTGCAGCATAACTCTAGTGTGAGAGAGAGGATTATGAGGTCCATCAATGTCACTGATGTGACTTCTGATTTTCTCTGGAGTAAATGAGATCCAAATCCAACCCACTGAATCTTTATCCTGTGCATTCTCCATATTGTTTAATGTTTATAACTTCCCTTAACGAACAGCCTATCAGGCCAGAATGTCAAGTCTGTAAATGATTGTATTATCTACCAGTGGAGACAGCCTAAAAAGGAGACAGTTCTCAAGATTTTAAGTACTTCCTTACCTTGTAGTACAAATTATTCCCCTGACATCAATGGGACTATTCCAGTGCTTAAAGTTAAGCACCTGTGTAATGGATTGCTAGGTCAGGACCTTATATATTATTGGTTAGGAAACATATATCAAATAATGTTTAGATGTAATGTGTCTTGAGCAGTTTATTGAAAGCAAAGGATTTTTTCCAGAGATAAACAACTCCATCCTATATTCCATTTTGAGAATCACACTAAACAGCAATGCATAAATTAATTTGCAGAGTTGCTCAGGTCCCCTTACAAGGAAATGCCTCATGGGATAATGTTTACTGGGGCAGTCGACAAATGCCTTTGATGTCGATCGCAGAGCATCCAGACTAGCGCGCTAAAGCCAACAAACAGTTGATCGACTCAGTGCGGCAGCCATTTTAATTTAAATGAAGCGTCGATTATTTAAATCAACGTTTCATTTTCCTATACCTGTCGCCAGAGTCTAGACATACAGAGTGACTACTGCCTTCTTCATTTGCTCAGTTTGTTTGTAAAGTCTTCTGGTGATGACCTCAGTTTGTTTGTAAAGTCTCAGTGATGACCTCTGTCACCACTAACTAATAATAAATATTAATAATATTCTATTTTCTGCCTCTGTTTACTAAATTTTATAATGAAGAACAGTAATTATCATAGTAAATATAATTCTTTGTAATGTGTGTCCCCAACTACTATACACACACAGTGGCAGAATTTCAAGGGATGTGTGATCTAATGGTTAGAGCAATGGACTGAAAGCTAGGATTTCTTAATTCTAATCCTGCTAATGACTCTTTGAGAAGCCATGGTTTGCTCCTTTGTAAAATGTGGCTAATGCTACTTACTGTAGTTGTGCATGAGGCTTAGTTAATTAATATTTGCAAGATTCTTAGAGATCCTCAAATGGAAGAGATTCGAGATGCACAGCAGTTCTCACATAAAATTGTAAGGGAGGGATGGACTACTCACGAGGGTTGCTTGGCTGTGAATCCATTGGAATCATGAGCTTTGCACGTGTGGCTCTGCGGGCAGCAAGCGAGCGCTCTAAAGTGGACATGCTACTTCCCACATCCTCTGTATCAGGACCTGAAGAAAAGCAACACAGTGGTTATGCACCATAGAGCTAAAATCACCGATAACTAGGTTTAAATGTTAGACCTGCTTTTGAACAGTATCTCTGATACAAAACATTGCCCGGTGGGAACCTGGAGTAAGCTGTGTTAAGTGGTGGACCTAAAGAGATCCTGGTGGTCTGGTGAGTGGCTGGTAGGGCAGCTTGTGGCAACCGGCCAACAGGGTGGCTGGAGAAGTGGAGTAGAGTGCCATCAGCCAGCAGAGTGGCTAGTGAAAATGAACCGTGAGAGACATAGGCATGCGCAGCACATTTCCTTAGGGTGTGCACCCAAAGAATTTTTTTAAAATGCACTTTGACCCCCCCATTAGCCACACCCCTGACCCCCTGTTAACCACGCCCCTGGCTCCCATTAGCCACACCCCTGGAGGAAACCCTCTCCGGGCAAGATGGGCACATTACCAAAAGTAATAAGTGTTATGTGACCCCCGACCCAAGGACTTTTCCCACCATCCTTCTACCAATAGGGATTAGTCCCCCCCCCCCCCCGCCCCCCCATGCAACTATCCTGCAATTGCATTAATCCAATGTGTGTGACATTAATGCGGGGGTGGAGAGGCTGGGGGGAGGGGGAGAAGTGTACCCTCTAAGAGTTTCCTCCCATGAGCAGAATGAATTTTGTGTTGTGCACCAGTACCGAATACATGTGGCTTGTTTGGATGTGCCATTGTGGTACCCAAGTTATTAATAAATATCTACTTTTCCCCTCTGCTGCCATATCTCCTCCCCTTGCTCCATCAACTCCCCTGGTGCCTACTGCCCCCAAACCCCTCACCCTCCTCTGCTGTCTTGACTCCTGCCCTTCTCACTGCCCTCAGCCTTCAGGAGACCTGCCCCCCCTCCACCAGCCCTCCCCCCTTGTTTTCCATGTCTGCTATTTTCTGGGTTTTTTTTACCAGACAGGGCCAGAAATAATGGAGTGTCTGGGGGAAAACCGGACACCTGGCAACCCTACCCAAGAAATGTTGAGAAAATTGTGAATGGGCAGCTCTGGCTTTATCTGGGCTCCTGAGATGCTTTATTTCAGCTTCTCCATTTATACCAGCTGCTTAGAACCAGCACATCCTTCACAATCATTTCCCCTAAGCAGCATTATCTTTGAACAGGAACCTCTGCTACCCACTTTCCTTCCAACAGTTGATCTCCTCATTTGGGAATCTGTCTCTGCTCTGATCAAGCCTTCTCTTACTACCTCTGCCTCCAATCCCCAATGCCCTTACCCTCTCCTCTTTCAGCATCACCCTGTCCCCCCTCCCACTGACACCTCCCCTTCTGCCCTTTTCCTCATTGTCTCACTTCCCCCCTAGCATTTGTGTCTCCTCTACCCTGTCCCTTTGGTGCCTCCCCCTT